CCCCCAACACCTTTCCTGGGATTTCCACTTGCTCTGATTCACACATTCACACTTTTTTTGTCTCCTTTTGTGTGTCTCTAGTCATTGTTGCGATGGAGAGAGGGCTCCTTTAAGTTGTCCCCGACAGACGCAGCATTCTTTAGTGAAACTAACGTAGTTTTGCTGCATCGTTTTATCGCTGATAACAACAGAGTCGGGGTGTCCTATAAATGCACTGGAAGAGACACAGATTCCGATTTCACGTCTCTACTTGTAATTCTATTTTTCTATTCTTCAAGTGTCTCTTTCTAACCCTTTGAATTTTTCGTATTTACCTGTCAAGTGTCTTTAAACTTATCTTTTAATGATTTTTACACACGTGACTTCTGATGTACTCTGTTAGTTGTGTAAAGCGGCTGTTGGGGGGTTTGAGACACACACAAACAGACCACTTGTCAAATTATCTATGACGCCAGCAGAATGACTTGTGCTGGTTTTAGAATGACACATTGTGCTTTTCTGTTGCTCAGGAAGTTAACCTAACCTATCACTATAAACGGATTTACTTGCACAATTGCAGTGTTATCTCTCAATATGAAACACTCCTTATGCTTCAGAGCCACAGCTTCAGCCATCCTCAGATTTAGAATGTATTTCCCCATCTGGACCATCTGTGTCTCCCTATTATTATTATTATTATTATTATTATTATTATTATTACAGGGGCCGTGTTGTCTGATGGTAAATTAGCCTAAACTCTTATCCTAAATCGATCTACAGATTCTGTCCATTAAAAAAAATACAGTTAAAAAAAAATAACAGTAAATACTATGAAGTTTTTTATTGTTTTCCTGGAATATGTCAACAAGATAACATTAAGATTTTCCAAGTCTCTTTTTTTAAACGCTCACGCTAAGTTTGGTCACATTTCTGGTGTAGCCAAGTTAAGTGTTCTATTGAATTCACTTTTTGCATCACACAGTGTGACCTAGAAAACACTCTGGACAGCGTTAGTGATCCAGTTTTCACCGTTGAGTCATTTGACTTTTGTTCTGCACAAATAAAGCAGCTCAGCCATGTCACATAAAGCCCAGTTAAATTTGGACATCCCAGCCTGTTGTTCACCAACAAGAACAAGAAGCAACATTTGTCCGAGAGCGTTGTTCACGTTTCAAAGCACTGTCAGTTTCTTTGAGTCACTAACTCCCCGTTCTCATACTGACCCGAACCTTTTTTTAAACCACTGCTTAAAGTTTTGTGCAATATAGTAAAAGCGATTTTTAGATGGTTGAAGACTTTCTTTTTCTAAATGGTACCTGTTGTGTTGTCCCTTCCATTCGTCCTTTGGTTGAAAGCGTGAGGGGTGATGGATGGACCTCAGGAGCTGCTGCTTGTATTTTTGTGCGTGAACAGGAACGTCAAACAAAGTGGCTCTGATCTTCCTCTGAAACTGCAGCAGTCCTACTTGTTTGTTTTTCTACTCTTAAGTGCCGAAATGTCCCGGAGATGCTCTGGAACAGATGTAGGAGATAACAGACGTGTCTGTGGACGCCATTGGGCAAGAGAATGTGTCAGCACGTTCTGGCTTGATTTAATTTCCATCCGGGGGTTAAGTGCTTGTATGAAAATGGCTTTTCCCAGTTTCACACACTGCTTTGGATCAGGACAGGCCCAATTAGTATTTAGCAGCAGATACAGTGGTCAGGAATAGTTGCCTTATTGTTCATCCTATCATCAAGATTTTTAAGGGGGGTCTTTAGGGGTCTCACTGTTTTCACACCACTCAGCTACAGTCATGTGATCTGTTAGCACACAGGCTCAAGCATATGAATTCTTTGCCTTTACTATGTTCACCCTTTCTCTGCCAATTCATTCAAAATAGCTTTGGTGTCACGGTTTGTGCTCATTTTTGTTTGGTTACAACCTAACAGCCCCCCCCACCCCCACCCCCACACAATCCCATGTATTTCTTAACTCTTGTAAAGAGGAACCTGACTCGGTTGATCCAGAAGAGGCTCCCTCTGGAGGGGAGCAGCTCTGGTCATGTGACCCAGCGGCGTGTTCCAGATGTGGGAGTCTAGACCCCAGACAGGACTCCTTTGTCTCCGTTCCAGCTGTAACGCGCCGGCCTGCATTCAGGTCCAGTCCAAGCCCGCTGTGCCCGGCCATGAGGTCATCGTAAACCGCCCCCCCGCTCTGAGACTCCTCTGATAGCGGACAGAGAGGGTTTTACTCCCGCACAAACGGGTGCCAACAGATGTGCGAGCCATGGTCCAGACGAGTTTTTTTTGTCTGTGTGAAAAAAACAAAGCAAAGTTTAGTTTGATATTGGACTATTTCAGAGGTTGCATCAGAGGCCGTGTCTGGGCTTCTGCAGAGGGGGCTGGACAGTTTCACAGGATGTGTGCACACACACACACACACTCACACACACACACACAGCGTGTGTGTCAGAGGGAAGTTTCCGGGAGGTTTCAGCTGCTGAGGCAGCAGTTCAGTCCTCTGCGTGTGGGACTGGCTCACCGAATGAAGTCACATTTTGGCACAGGTTTCCTGTTCTTCTGTTGTTTAAGTGTTCTGTCGAGCGTTTCTGAGAGCTCTGCACGCCTTAGAGGACGCTGTTATAGGAGGGAGTCCTCCCTTTTTCTCTCACCGCCTACTGCAGATCTGCAGCTTCATCCAGTTATCTGTCCATTCTCTAAAGGATACTTTCAACATCACGCTTAGTACGGGGGCTGAAGCTAACGGGAGTAAAAACAAAACCAGAAACGTTTCAATGAATAGATCTATACCAAAATCAATTAAAAGATTTAATGTGGCATTTTATATTCATCCTATTGAAAAATGATGCACATTTACCTTAAAAAGCCTATTTATTTATTTTAACACATGCTCTATAATTTAGGTGACCTATTTAACTCTTTTATATCTTTGTTTTTTACTTTTTTTCTAGCCTGTATTAATTTTCTATTATATTTTCCCATGGGAAAGGAATAGATTTGTGGGGAAAAACCAAAAGCACGAATTAATAAAACTAAAATATAAAACATAGATAAAAGTTACAGTCGTAAAGAAGTAAAGCTAAAAAGATTCAAATTGGCTTCAAGAATCGAGCATGTCCTAAATAAGTAAATACATTTCTTTTTTTTTTTAAATGTGCATTATAATAGGAGGAAATTACTGTATAAATTTAAAAGTATGGCGCATTTGATCATTTAATTGGTGGACTTTTCGCACATTGAAAGACTCATTTGCAACATTTCTGATTTTATTTCTAATGTTGTTCAGTCCTGTATAGATTGGGGCAGTTTGGTTGACTTATTTGTACATAGCACCAGAAAACTGATCTGTTTCAACTCTGGAGGAAACATCCAGACTGATTTAATGGGTAAAAGAGGGAAATCACTTTAATGGAATCACTATGCAGACGATTGCAAAAGAAAGTGACCCGAATATGTCTTAAGATTAGTGAAAGACATATACGTAAAGTGTCTTTTAGTTCAAACTTTTCAGTTCAAACTTTTTCAGTCAGCTTAAGAGGCCCGTTGCATTGTGAAGACTTAATGTATAAAACCATTTTTCCAACAAGTAATCAGGGGCATTCACGTTTTTAAAAATCAATAAGGGCTAAGAGTAAGCATAAGGTTTTTTTTTTATGATTCCATACATTCTGCAATACTCTTTTTTGATTTATAGAGAAGTGACCTGTCATGAAAATATGGGTCAAGCCTTAAATGGTGTCGTCACTACGTTGTATTAGTGTTGTGTTACATTGACAGCGCCCTCTTGTGGACAGCTTTGGAACACAAGTGTTGTGTTGTGTCAAAAACAAAGTTGTGTAAGATATTTAACTGTGTGTTGTGTAGCTGATGGTATCATTTTACACTGACATTAAGAAAGACCTGTTTGGAGAATAATGGTTCGTTACATTTTTAGCCTATCACAGTCAAGAGAGTTCTGTTTTTTAATGTCTGATATGTAACCACCAAATGAGTGTTGATGTCATACTCCATCTTGCCTCAGACAGTAGTTGGGATCAAGTTGTCTGGAGTGGAAATTGTTAACTTTTTTATTTTTATTTTTACTACTTCTGCCCTCAAACCGTCATACTTAACACTAAATGTGTCTTAACTTGCTCGGACTGCCTTTTAACTTGCCTTCTTACATTTTCGTGGTACTTCTTTTTGTCATACTGTGAATCTCAATCTATCGCGACTGTAACAGTGTGGATCTAAACTTTGTAAAAACTTCTTGTGGCAACGTTTGATGGAGAAAAAAACTAGAATTGAGTCCCTGTGAGAGGAAGCTTGTGTGACATTAGACAGCATTAGTCCACCGGAATAGCCTGGCATCATGTTAACGGATTAAATACGGTCACTGACGGCTGGATCTCTTTTTGCTCGTGTTTTACTGACTGTTTTTGTGTCATCGTGTCAGGAAAATGATCTGCAAAAAGCCTGCCAAATATAAAGATAACCCCTGCTCTAAGCTCTCTGCCTCTTGTATAAAACAGTGTTACCCTGTTTGTAACATTTTTTTAGCTCACAGCTTGATCAGGGTTTGGTCATTTCAAGTGGACAAGCTTTCAATGTACAGTCTAACTTATGTTCTTATAACTGTAAACTCAATAAATCTTTTTTTTAAAAACAGTTTTTGATTCATTTCATTTTCTACATTACACAATGGAACTTGAAGGACTACAATGGGTTTTTTTTTAAATTAGATTACTCATCCAAAAAAATGTGCACGTGGAAACTTGTTAATATCAAAGGAGACAGTATTTATCCACAGAGTATGCTGTTTATTGATGTTATTTAACTATTCTATAGTTAGTTTCCGTTACCTCAGCGACGGGGTTCCCAGTTTGAAAAACAGTTGGAGGCCTTTCTGTGGGTTCTGGACATTTCCAGCTTCTCCACGCTGTAAAAAAAACCGCTGTGGAAGATGTAAACTGATGTCAGAAGTGAGAGTAACGTGTGCTTTTCTGTTTCTGCGTGACCCTGAGAACACTTCCACCTCTCGCCTAATGATGCCTGAAATAAGATCAGCCCCCCCACAAAGCATTTTCCTTCAGGAAACGTTATACATGTAAGTCTCAGTAATGTTAAATGTCTAAGTAAAGTTGAAACAGCAACCTCTGTGTTCCTAAAGGGGACATCTTACCTGATAGCATTCATCTGCAAGTATTTGCAAATCCTTACTATAAATGTCTTTATAAAATCAGTCTGATGTTCATTAACAGTTGAATAAGCTTCTTGACCGTTGTGGCAGATCCTGCAGGTCATCTACTGACCACTCTAAGCGTTTCTGGTATGCACATTGATTGAGGTCCTCAGCGACCTGCAGTCTAATTTGGTGAGCAAATAGTTTTCTCACAGGATTAGCATTTTATGAGATGTCAAAGCCACCAGTCTGTACTGGAATACTGGCAGGGAGTAAAGAAGGGGGGGCTTAGGTGGTGGTTCCAAACCTGAACGAGGAGAGGAAATGGAATCTGTGAATGAAAGCTCAGGAGGCAGAAGCATCTCTTCGGCACAGAGATTGTTGGTAAACCGGTATAGAGTAGAGCAGTTTCCAAAGAGAAGAAAAAGTTTTAATCATTAGGCATTCCAGCTGTTTTTTTATGGCTGTAAACAAGTGAATGCCTGCCTGTATAAATGTGTTAATTAGTCTCTCATAAATCATTTGTGCTTATTTTGGTAAGCAGTAAACAGTAGACAAACATGAATTCAAATAAGACTCTTTTAATGTGAATCCCATAACCTACATTGTGTCAGAACTGCTTATGTACAGACCCACAGATCCTGCTGTTCACTATCGATCTCTGGAAAGTGCTGCAGTGTTGCCATCAGGTCAGGAATTAAACATCAGTTACACAGGTGAATAGTGGCCATTTGGAGACTGGAATGAAAGACTCTTTTTTTAAATGACTGTCTCCAGTTTAAGCAGCACAATATCCTTCTTTATGCATTGGATGCATTCAGAATAACACACAATAATAGGTCTTAAATAACAGCGGCCATGACGCTGTCTGAAACATTAGCAGGAACCAAAAGTAGAGCTTCAGGTCCTGTTCTATAAATAGAACATCAGTTTTCTTAGGAAAAGCTTCAGAGCTCAGTTGTGATGTCCCTGGTTATTTTTGTGTTTGTGCACACAACGGACGCTTTTTTCCAAAGTGACAATGCAGATACAAAATTGCAGTCGGTTGTTTTAGTGAAAGATGTTTTTTTTATCATTTAGTAATGATAAACTAAGTTTAATGAAACGTAGCCAAACCGAGTGAAAATGAAGTCCTACCTTGGGCAGCTGGTCCCAGCAACATGTCTACAGTTAAAAGACACGTACGTATTTAGCATACTAAAGCTGAAAAGCTGTAAACGGGGTAAAGGTTTTTACATAGGCAAGAATCTGCCCCAAAACTGCTGGAGCAGAGAAGTGAAATGTTGTAACAGTAACATTTAAACAACCACATGTTTCACGTGAATGTGTCTTTGGTTTCAAATGAGATTGTGTCCTTTCTGTGAACGGTTTATTTGAGCTGTGACAGAGAACCTGGCCTGAGCTTTGGCTTTAGCAGCAGATGATGAGCCATGCACTTACAGCTCAGGATTCTGCTCCGCTGACGTTCTGGTCCTCTCCTGGCTGAGATCAAATGACAGACTTTTTATCCAGATCCTCTTCCTGTCTGACGGGACTGTTCTCCAGGGCTAAGTCCACTTCCAAAAACTCCAACTGGTCACTGTCCTGAGACGTTGTCTCGTCTTTGTTGGCATTCTTGCCTTTGTTTTTGTTTCTTTGGAACATTCCGGCTTTAACTGGGCCGACCAGGGCCAGGCAGACTGCGCTGAGGCCCATGCCTGCCGCACACGAGTAGAAAGCAGCACCATAATTCTGCGTAAAATCGACCAGGACACCTGAAAAGAAAGAAAGTTTAGTTTAACAGGATCTAAATGTGTGTCTGTAAATGATCAAACCATATCGGGGTGAATTAAAGGATGAAGATGTTCTGTACCTCCTAGCGGTGGTCCAGTTAGTCCAGCAAAGCTCTGGATGAACACATAAACTCCAACACATGAGGGCATCTTCTGGATGCCTACCACATCGTCCTCGGCCAGCAGCGGGATGTGCGTGGAGCCCACGGTGCCCATGAAGAAGCCATAGAGAGCACAGCACACCACCAACCCCCAGAACTCCCACACAACGGTGAAGGCCACCAGGACCAGGCTCATCATGACCACGCACCAGAGAAGCACTTTGGTCTTTCTACAGCGGACTCTGTTCAGCACCACGCCGATGGACAGCCGGCCCAGGACGTCGGCCACGGCCATCACGGACAGCATGTAGGACGCCATGCTGGGCTCCACGCCCCGGCTCTTACTCAGCTCGATTATGTAAAGCTGCGGGGCAAAAAAGCCTAGTGTGGCAAACAGGCCAAAGAGCGAGTACCATATAAAGGCCCCGTCTTTAAGCACTGAGAAATCTAGAAGCTTTGGACTGGGGGGCTTGAGAGGACCTGCCTCTCCCTCTGCCGGTTCCACCTGACTCTTTTCCTGCTCTGGGCTGGGAGCGGTGGACGCTGGCTTCTCCTGGTCCCACTCCGTTACAGCCCTGGCTTCTGCTGCCTGCATCCTGAGGTCTTCATCTGAGGCAGAAAGGGAGGTCACGCCCGAGTCCTCAGACTCCCGGGACACTCCTGACCCAATGGATGTTTTGGTCTGCTCATTCTCCAGCTCATAAACACTTTTCATGTGCTTAAGAGAATGAGATTCTGACTTTAAGTCATCGTCATCCTTCACCGGCTCTGGTTCAATTACGATTGGACACAGAAGAAGCCCGCAGCCAATCACAGATGCCTGGAGGATGCCGATGACCACTAGACAGTTGCGCCAGCCGATGTCCTCCTTCAGTTTGGTGAAAGCTGTGCAGAGAGGGGACAGCAGAGGTTGTTATCACCACCAACCGTTCTTATCCTTTACAAACTGAGACGTAATTATGTAACAATCATTCCAAGAAGTTCACGAGAAAAAAATATCTCGCTATTTGTACTCAATAGTAAAGGCACTAGAGTTAGGAGCTTTTCTTGATGATAACCGGTTCTAAAATATAATCCCCCACTCATCATGGGCAGAAATGTGTAAGGATCAGATCATGGATCGATATGTGAGGGGACACTCACATGGAGCAAACAGGAACATAGCAAAGGATTCTCCAGAGGAAGCAACCGAGGTCACGAGGGCTCGCCGTTTGGAGAAGTACTGGGCTAGGATGGTGACTGTCGGGAGAAAGGAGAGGCAGTACCCAAGTCCTGTAGAGAGCAAAGAAAAGAAGAAAAAAGGGGGCATTACAGCCACTGACCCTTATGGCAGGAACATTACAAGTTAGGTAGGTCAGTCAGGCTGTCATGTCACTCCTTTGTCAAAAGTAAGTTAGAGGATACAGCTTTGCTGCATCTCCTGCTGAAAGACACAAGTATTTTCTGTTTATGCATTTTCTGTTTGAAAGTATTCCGCCAATTTGTTCTGTATCCAATCCATCAGCTTGTTTTCCTAGACTTATTTCATCCTTTCATTTTTATTTACTTTCCCAGAGCGATGTCATCTTCTGTCTTTTTGTGAACCACAATGGTTTCTTTCTTTTCTTTTTAGTCGGGGAGGTGATATTGTTTTCTGCAGCTGTGTTCTGTGGGAGCTTCCTGGAAAGCGAAGATAGCTGGGTAATGTCATAGAGAGGCTCAGCTCAGCTCAGTCATTGACAGTTCTGTTGGAAACAGACAGTGACCGGATTTGTTGATGACGCTGCTAGGAGGCTCTTTAGTTCACGCACTGCAGCGTGCAACACAACACACGTGCATCAGCAGAGGTCCCTCTGTAGATAGACAGACTCATCAATCCATAGATATATATATACATTTCTGTTACCTGAGACAATTCCAACGGTGATGTACATCTCATTGACAGAGTTGGTGAAGGCAGAGGATATGCTTCCCAAGGTAATGAGGAAACCTCCCACCATGACCACGGGCCGATAGCCAAAGCGGTTGCTCAGTATCGTCGACAAGGGCGCTAATGTGAAAAGAAACACAAAACAGTCATTTCTAAACTGATGAAGTCAACGTTTCACTTGCATAACACAAGCGAAGTCTGTAAAACACAAATGGGCCAATGATGACGGGTATACGTGTGAAAGAACACTGAATTCCAAGTTTCTTTATGGGGGATCATTCTACATGGAAGTATAGCCAATTAAAAAAAAACATTTCATTTCATTTGTTTTTACATACGACTGAATTAAAACTGTAAACACTTTTACTAAATACTGAATTATCTGACAATACTACCTACATAGGAAGAAATTAGTCATTCCAAGAGAAATGACTATTTCCCAAAACAAACAATCTCACACAGAAGAAAGGATTTGTTATATTTTCATTTGGAAGAAAAAAAAAGCAAAATTTGTGATGGATGGGTGTTAAAAAATGACAGTTTCCCGCACATGACATTGTCCCTTTGTCTTACATTTTCAATGTAAACATTTACCGTCTCTTAAACAGCCATACAGTATGTATCATAGGTGACTAAGAGAAGTGAGCAACTGACCACTGAATGCAAAGATGAAGACAGAGATGGAAATGATCCACGAGACGCGACTGTTGCTCTCCTGGAACTCTTCCATGAGGTCTTGCAGGAAGACACCCAGGCTCTTGAGGACTCCATAGGTGTAGACTTCAACGAAGAAGAAGGCCAAAGCAACAGCCCAGCCCCAGCCACCTTCAGGTACCTCCGGATAGGTTTTCGGACCCAAACAATGCAGGACTTTCTGCATTATCATGGCTACAGTAGGTCACCTGTGCAAAGAAAAGACAAGACGTCTGTTACAATGCTCAGTATAGAAAAAAGTTTAAACCAGTTTTACATTTCTTAACTGCTTTCATGTCAATAACAACATCATAAGTTATATACCAATTTATTTCACAAAACTAAATAAGCTAAGACCAATTGGTCACACGGTTGTAGATGTTTTGCAGGCCAAACAGTAAATACAACTTATTGAATACATTATTATTATTATTATATTTGTATTCATTGAATACATATATGTACATACATCTACACGTACACATGTATACATACACATACATGCATGCATAAACTGGCAAAAACAGGCCTTCCCACAATAGGCCACTATTAATAAGGAATTCAAGCCATAAATGACATCATGAGGTCCTCATTTAAAAGAAGAAATATGCCATTTTGAGTTGCAAATGAAAAAAATACGTGCTAAATGTTTTTTAATAATGGTCTGGGGTATGTCTGTTAAAATGAAACTTTACATTTGCTGTATTGTGGCTGTCTGCACTGCAGCGCGTGGCATCGCCTCGCGGGGCTTTCTGTGTCAGTTCAACAGCCACTTCCTGTTGGGGGACTAGCATCTGTAAACGGCTTTTAAATCATGTCAAGTCGGACATGGCATCTGTTTTTTTTTAAACACGTTAAAAACAAAAACTGTTATTCGTATTAGACTAAATGAATAAATAAAAATTCGCCCCGAGACCGACCCTTGTAACAAAATGGAGCTATTAGGACACCTGCTTTCCTCGTGAGCATCCCGCAGTGTGAGCCTCCCCGCCGGCTCCTCTGCCTCCTTACCTGGGCTCAAGCGGGCGGACGGGGGCTCTGCCTTTGGAGTCGGCGAACGTGTTCGTTTTAGCTTGCTATTTTTATTTTGTGCAGCCATGAACCACTTTAATTTCTCGTTTTCGGACAAAAAATGTATTCAAAAATAAATAAATACGAAAATTCAAATTATAGATAATTGTACCGCCAAAGTCACGCAATTTTGTCAAATGAATAGGAAACTATTATCTGCCCTGACTTCGGTCAGACCAGCGGCATCCTTTTTCTGGGTAAATTGCCGCCGCCGGCTTCCTGCTCGTTAGGGCAGCTCGTTACCGGCTCGAGCCGGAATTCAAACGCGGGTGCGCGAGCTTCTGCTTTCATGAATGCGCATTAGTACAGGGCGCAGCCCGGAAGTGTCTGCCAGCGGAAGCAGAGGCTGAGCGTCTCACCCCCCCATCCCCCCCTTCCTCCCCCCCTTTGCTGCGTTTACAATGAACAGCAACATATTAAAAAAGAAAGAAAAAAAGCAAACAATAAAAGAGAAAAATTTCGGATTTTTCAATATGTTGCCGTTCATTGAAAAAAATACATGTATTTTTTTTATCCATTAAAAAAATGTTGCTATGTTGCTGTTCACTGTAATATGTACAGTTTGTGTATATTGTATACACATTATTATAATAAATATGTATATATGTATATTTATATCTATATATGTATGTATAAAGATATGTATAAAGAATGAAAAAACAATCAAAAGCTGAAAAATAATAATCTAGGCACATTCTATTGCACATTTTACTCTAATAAAAGTTGATGTTGCTAATATTTGCAGGCACACCTACCTGTACCAGGTGTGGGACTTATCTGCTGACTTCTGCTGAATGTTCACAAGTTTCCTGGCCTGAAATACTTGCAACACACAGGATTCAGGGTGTGTCTAAAGCAAGACAAGATCCAGCCCCAAGTTCTGTTTTAGTACACCGTATTCCATGTAATGTATTTTTTCAACATTACCATACCATTTATCTTTTCCAATTTTTGCACACAGATGACTTATTTAATTCTTACAGAATGTCTATGTCTGTACGTATGGAAATAGAAGAGGTAAAATTTGTATTCTCTGTATTTGACCTGCTGTTGATAGCTGGCTGTCCAACCTTTTAGTTGTGCCGTATTTCAGTTTATTGTAAATCTTAGCACTTTGTCCTTCTTTTCAGCAAAAATGATTTACCGTACCGTATCCTGTAGTTACTTCTTAATTTTGTAATTTTGCGTTAAACTAGAAACCTGTGTTAAACCTATTCAAGCTGAACTTCAAGAGACCCTGGAAAAACTTTTTTTAATTTGAACTCAATGTGTTAATATGTATATGAATTGTGATGTCTCTTTCTTGATGTCAGCGGTTTGTTTTCTAGTCTGTGGAGGTCAGCCTCGTGTTACACAAGTCTGAAGTCCATCAAGATAAAATATCTGAAAATGTTCCACATGAAATCTAACCAGCATGTCAGAAGAACATTTATTTTCTTCAGCATTAATTTGCTATCCAAAGCTGGCTCTTCCAAAAGCAACATTTTTACAGTTTCTTCTCAGTCTTGCACGACAAAGGCCCACTCACATAAAAGCTGTCATGGCTGAAACCATGTGACTCAGTAGTGGAAAACTCAGTAACGGTTTATCAAGGAAACTAAAGAGCAGGCATCAACTGAAACACATGAACTGTAGGGTGAATACTTGGGGAGGCGAGTCCCAGAAGGTCTCATGTTGGATTTTATTACATAAGGAAAATATATCTTTAAAACTATGGAGTTCTTTAAGAGGAATGGCTGACAACCATGCACGTTTGCAGGGAGAGTGCATTCAGATGTGCAAAGGAGGTTAGTGACTGGGGATCTCATTTAGAAAAATTGTGTATGCACCAAACTGGGACAAAAAACCGTGTGCGCCAATTTCCACACAAAGTTTGGGATTTTCAAGGAAAAAAACTTGACCTGAAAATTTCTGGTCTCTCGAACAAAATTTAGGAAGCTAGAGGCACAGATGGTGGAACTGGACCCACACTGCATTAGGATTTTCTCCCTGAGGTTTAATTATTTGATTTTAAACCTTGTCGGCCATATTTTTACAATTTCATAGGTTTTTCTGCATTTGGTTACTTATATTCACCCGATTTTAACAAGTAAGATATCAAATAAATAAACTTTTTTTGGGACATACTGGGGAAGATATGTATTTTTTGGTATTGACATCTTTTCAACTTATTGAATTTTTGTTACTTTTTTTGTTGCTATTATTGAAACAAATGGAAAAACCTCCAAATCCTTCAAAACTTTGACCATGTTCAGCCTAACTACTTCAGCATGCTTTCAGCTCGAAACATTTGACTTTTAAACAAGTCTCTATCATCCAGCTGTCATCAAATGACTCTTTACTTAAAAATATATTCAGCTGTTTTCTATAATGATGGTTTAAAGATAATTTACTTTATTGCTCCCTTCACATTTTACAATGCATTCACATGGGAATAAAGTTCCAGTGCAGGGATCAGAGGAGTCATGTGACTCTTGCTCCTGCATCCCATTTCAAACTTTTTCTCGGGCAGTGATGTTGTTAGCAAATGTGCTAAATAGCTGTTAATGGAATTAGAGAATACATTTTTTTTTTTTTATAATAAACCATTCCTGGGTTCTCAGTCATTTTTAAGTGGAACTTAGTTTCAGATTGAGACTTTCCAGTTCCTTGAGCATATTGTGCTTCATTAATTTAGCACTTACAACAGTATTCTGGTTGTTCCTTTGGCCTGTTTTATCTTCTTGTCTTCAAATGGTCCTCCGTTTTTTTATCTAATGCATTTCAGAATACCACTCAAGCAATGGTGGCTACTACAATAAAAGAAAAGCCACTCTGGACCTGTTTCCCTTTGTAGGCAATTCATTCCCAATGTTTCCTAAAATAAACTGCTTTCATTTGAGTCTTTAGAATGCTTTAGAAAAGGTTAAGCAAAGAAAAGTTTCAGGAGCCCCTTTGCCAAGGAGCACATTTTACAATCTATCCATCCCTGACCATCGTCAGACCGTCGTCATTCCCTGTAAGGCGTAGGGTTTTTCTATGTCCAAAAGAGGGACGTGTCCATCCATCCCTGCCTTGACCACTGAGGCCTGAACCAGATCCCAGTTTATCCTTCACTGCTGGTCACATCAGCCTTTGAACTAATTCAGGAATCAACTGTTTCATCATCGTGAGCAGCAGTTTGAAGTCCAAGTGGGTGAAGGGCTAATGGGTACATGGCCATGGCTGGTGAGGTGATGGTGGGTCAGCGAGATCTGAATCCACAGCGGGGTGTCCGGAGGCTTAGGTGGATATCCAGAAATGGGAGACTATTTTCAGGATTAGAAAAACAACATTGAGCTCAGGAATGGCCTTTATTTACCACAAGGGTTTATTACACAATCAGGTAGAGATAGTGACTGTTGTGGATCTTTTAAAGCCCAAACAGAAACTCAGAAATCCCACAGACCAAAACACAGCCATCACAAAAGCACCAAAAATCTACATTGACAGATGTACGTGCATAGAAATGAATCTCAGAGCTCACCTTCAAGTGGAAAAACAACACTTTTATAATATAATCTCAGATTTTTCACAGCCACAAAGATCTTCGGTTCTCCCAAATCTTCCATGCCTTGAAATGTTGGACCTGAAACCAACTGTATTTCTGTCATCCAAACGGCATGTTTTCCATCCAGTGTAATGTTCAAGTTGCTATGAATGGTTTTCTAAATATGACATTTATTTTATATCTTGATCAAAGTGGAACAGTTGTTTTAGGATATCTACTGACTTTTTTTGGTTGACAGCAACAAAAAAAACAACCAAAGAGAAGTAACGAGAAAAGTCAAATTGGCGGACGGTGGATTGGTTGATGCATATCTATGAAAGGGAAAGAGACCTCTCAATACAATCATCTAAAGCCAGACTTGACCTCCTTATATAAGCGTTACGCACAAGAAAACCACGATAAAATCATTGTAAAGTTGTGTTATCTACTGAAGTCCAACTTCTCATCTTGTGGAGTGCTAGCCATATCATATCTCAGGGATCTTAACTACTGAACAAAATGTTTAAGACCCTGAGGCACCGCAATAAAGAAAGCAAAGATCTTTAACCTTGCCAATACCCCAAAAAACAGTCCCTAACGCATCTAATATCACCGTAACTTAATAACAACAAAAAAGCTTATTTTTGCCTTGATTGAAAAACAAAACATTTCAAATTTACTATATTTTCCAGTGCTTTGTTTTTTCTTTTCTCCCTCTGTATTTACTACTGTTAAATAGATAGATCTCCACTGGAATGGTTGTGGGATTTATTCATTCTTTAGTAATATATTAAGGTCTACTGCACAAAAATAATGGGAATTTCCCTGACACATGTAGAAATAATATTCAACAAGGTGTTTAACTATTTCTGTTGAGCGTAATATGATCAAAAGATTAAAGGAATTTGGACGAATGTCAGTTTCAAAAGCCAAAGCAGGCCATTTATGGTGGCTGTTTTTTTTTTGTTGGCTGATTTTTGTTGGTTTGGAACCAAGATTTGGCTGGTTTACTAGAGCGTTTGGGTCATTGTTTAGTATCAACAGGTTTGTCCCATGTTCATGCAGCTGCTTTTGTTGTTCTCTGCATTTTTTATCCCATCAATTTCGTCTTTTTATTATATTTTGTTGAATATATTTCTTTGTATTTGTGCTCTCCTTCTCAATGTTACTTTGAAGTGCCCTCAAGAAAACTGCATGGAAACTTAGCAAGATCATTTTGCTATAGATCACATTTTAGTTACTCGTGTAGTTCTAAAAGAAAAACGAGAGCGAGATCGGTACATATGGCTGACAGAAAGCTAAATACAACAATGAATTAAACACAGACATTAAACCAAATGCGAGGCAAAGTCGTTGTTTTTTTGCATAGGTTCAACTCCACAATATGAGTTTATTCCTTTAGTTTCTTTCTTCAGTTTTGTGCATTGAGTAAAATACATTACATTTTTACAAATAATATCAGGCATAAACAAACATACAGTACATATCCACTTTCTAAATTGTGTTCAGGAGGCATGGACAGAAATACTGAAGACAAGTCAATGCAATAAAATACTACACATAAAAAATATATAAAATCATATGTAAACTAATACATTGTTTTGAAAATCATATGTTTCTATAATAGGATAATTTGTCAAGTAATAATACTATGAAATTACTCTTAAAATATGAAGTTCCTGATTTGTTAACAACCAACAGGTTATCTTAGTTAATCCCCCCCCCAGTTCACAGCTCATTTTGTGAAACTTGAAATTCAGAATAAAAACTGAACCGTACTTTAACACAGTCGCTACTCCTACGTTTTCTCTCTTTAAATAAAAATCTGAAATGACATCTACCGCTTGGTCCATCTTTTTTTCATTTCTCACATCAACTTGAATAAAACATTGCTTGCGCTTCTCTTTTTTTTGTTTGTCCCTCTACCCCTTCACCAGCGCCTCCCCCGGCCACCTTCAGTCCCACCGCAGCATGAATTAATCTACCAAAACACATGAACACAGGTGTTAGTAGCTGACAGGGAAATGGTCAAATCATAATCAGATCAGATCCCAAATTCATGCAATTAGTTCAAGAAAAGTTCCAGTAGATCAACAGCAAGACTGTTGATTTTTTTTTTTTAACCCAAACAAGATTCTCATGTAATTTATACTGGTTTTTACATGTATGTTTTCCACTCATTTTTCACAATCTGAGATTGGACGTGGCAAATATAATGTTAACAAGACCCACAAAAATAATTAGGAGTTTATTAGCCCCCAATAGGCAAATGTCCCCATTTGGCCTATTAGGGGGTTCTTTTTGAGTGCTGGCTTTCCTCTTTGCCATTTTTCCTGTCTTTACACTTTCAAATCAAGTGCCCAGAACTCTAAAAATAGGTTTTGCCAGTTTATTATGTCAACAAAGTGGTAGACATTTCTCCCTACAATAAAGGGTTAATAGTTGTTGTTGTTTTTTTGTCTTTTAAATGACGAATTATTAACAGCGACATTTCACTGTATGCACAGGTCCTCAATGCTTGTGTGTTATTATATGCACAAAAGGAAATGAGGATATAGTAAACAAAAGGTATTACAGAAAGTAAATATTAGAGCATCTCATTAAATTATATCTTAACTCAAAAAAGAAAAATCATGAACTTGTATAATACGCAGAACGTTTTCTTGTGTTCTGACAGGACAAACACCAGAAGATTTGGATAGGTGTCTGTTTTAGATTTTTAATTGTCTGATGAATGATTGACAAATCATTACAACTTTATCACAATGTGCATTAATTATTTTTCTATCTTTGAATGGTTTAGCTGGCCCTGAAGCTCTCTAAGTGTTTATGGGAAACCACTCAGTTCAGTATCCTGATGAAACTGGTTTTAAACAAAAATGGCCATCAAATGCAAAAAAAGTTCATTGGAATGTAAATTATTAACGTACTTTAGATCACTAACGATTTCTTTGGTTTTCCATGTTTTGTGCTACACCATCTTAGAACAGTACCAAAAACCAACATGCTTGAAAATGTCACTTTGAAAATATCTGCTGTACACGTATTCATGAAAATATAAAAACAGGAACCAAATCTTTTGCAGGACTAATAGAATCTGAAACTTAGGACTTCCGCATGCTCACAGGAGGAAACTCGTTTTCGTCGTCCAGACACACGGGTCCAGCAGCAAACTCGTGCTCTGGGATGACCTCCCCCTTCTTTGCTCCACTGTCTTCAGAGTAGCCTAAACAGAAACATTCAGGAGAAGCACAGAAGTCTTTCAAATCACAGGAGTGTAAGAATTGGGCTACAGTTACTCACTTTAACATTGTATGATATCGCATAATCCATGTAAATGACTGATTATCTTATTCCTTTTATAACTACACTTTTATGTTAAACTCTCTGGTTGTGGCCATAGATTCTCCTCTCTCTGTTACAGTAGACACGGTGTTCAATAACATCCATACACACACTTTCTTATCACTATCCAGTGAAATCTGCCTGAATTAGGAGCTGGCCTGTTCATGTCAGAGCTAACTGGCCAATGATATTCGTTTGCATCCAGGTATTTTCGTCAAACGCGCATGTGCTTTGGGTGAAAACACCTCAGAGTTCCCAGCAGGAGCACAATCGTTTGAGTAAAGGTTTTGTTTTCAAGTTCGTTCTCAAAATGGTTAAAAAAAAATACACAGCAAAACGAAAAATATGAAGATGAACGCGGGACGTTTTCCACTGAGGGGGAGAGCTGTTGTTTTTTTTCTGAACTTAATGGAAGCCATTCGGCCTCATATGCCAGAGGTCCCACTAAGTAACATGCATAGTCAAAGGAAAAAGGAATGTAAATGATTAGATTTAACTTTGAGGACTTGGTTAAACTGAGAGTTTGTCTGTGTGAGACACACACAATGTTCCCTGTTGAAAATGACTGTGGTCCTTGTGGTGTAGGAGTCCATTTCTGTCACTATCAGGTCGGTGTGTGACATTTACTATAGATCTGGCTGAGCAAAGGTGTGTGTGTCTGTGAGGAAGGAATGGGGTGATGATGTGTATGATGTGGCTCTTTGTGGTAACACGGTAAAAAATGTGGCTCTTGCTCTCTGCCTGGTGGCCCAGCTCTGCTCCAGATATTTAAAAAGCTGCTAAGATCAGCAAAAGTGTGTTCCATAACATTAGCTGTGTGAGATTTCTATGAAAATGCATAACTACTTTCACATTTTAGTCGCTAACAGGTCAATTACAAAAAATTAATTTGAACTAGACCTTGGAAAAAATTGGAAAAAGTCAGAGAGTTTAGCCCAAATCTTCCACTTTGTATCATGAGCAAGCATTAATGACTACATTCACCAAAGTTTAACCAGCTGGAAAATGAAACCCCCGCCATGACCACTCTGAAGGTCCCCGTTCTCCAGTGAAGTCTTTCATCACATAGAAAACCTAGCAGTAGGTTTTACATATGGCGCCTACCCTGAAACCTGGCAGATGGACTCTGTCCTGCTCATTTTCTTTTAAAGCTCATCAAAAATTCAGCTGCTTTGAAATGTGAACATCCTGGATGAGCCAGTTAGATAGAGGGAACTCTGAAAGGTCCAACTTGCTCTTAACTCATTGGCTGCCAAAGACGTCTATAGAGGTCTTTTATGTTTTTCAACGAGAGTGTCTGGGGGACGATCTGCTAAAGCTTGTCCGTAAATATGGGCTTCTAGACAGAGTATGTAGTAACAAATTGACCCTCTAGGGGGCAGTGCCACTTTTGATGGGAGATGAGCATAGACTGTAGGCAAATGAGAAAAAGCTAACGGTTCTATGCGAGAACATGTCGCCGGTGAGACGCAAGTCCAGGAAGCCCACACTCAAACAGAGTTTGTGTCGCAGTAATCGCAGTAGTTGGGTTGGTGGGAAATGAAGGAGATCAACCCGGGCCAAAGGAGAGAGTAGGCCTAGCTCACGGCGTGTTTCACCACAGCTCAACGCCGCAGATAGTTGCGGGTCAGAGGAATTTAGCGATTTAGCGAGATGTTGTTTTTGCCGTTTTATAGAAAGACACAACTTTTAAGATGTTTGAGGTGTCACTAAAGCCAAAAAAATAGCATCAAAGACACTTCTCTGCTTGAACTGTATCTTTTCACAAAAAGCTTGTTTTCTCCATTTATTGGTCAAAAACTGGTGTTTTTGTTGAAACCAACCTATGTTCTACTGATGATTACTAAAGAACGGAATAAGGTAGAAACTCTTTTTTTTTTCCTGATGAAAGAAGAGAGTCTACTCTTTCTTTTGGTGTGTTCGGTGTTTACATAGTCATAGCACAAACTATTCTGTGGCTCTTGAAAAATCAGTCAAAATGCTCAAAAAACTCTGGCAGTCAGTGAGTTAGTACAGACCAGTGAGGGTTGCGGTCACGGGGCCGGAGGCCGGTAAGGCAGCGGTTTCAGCATACGAGGGAGTGGACTGTACGGGGCTCATGACCCCTGACCCCGCCGGCTCTGCTCCTTCATCTTTGTCATCATTGACACCGAAAACCCTGAGAGAGAATTAGCACCAAAATCATTTTTAATTGACTTGCAGATTGCTCAGACTGTGGATGATAGTGCTGAAGTCATTCTCTTACAAGAACTATCAGTTTGCATGCCAAGGTGCATCTAATCATAGAAGCTTTTCCTTAAATCCTTTTCACTAAAGAAAAATAGGTAATAGAAATGTGACCAAAACCCTATTTATCACATTTAAAAAAATCTAATAAATTCAGGTACCAGTACAAAACGTCAAAGATCTGTGATCTCCTGATGTTCCATTGGCCATTTTGGCTAAGTACATTTTAGTTCAAACAGGTTGTTGAACCTGTGTCGCTGTGGTTTCTTATGGGTTAAATCATTGAGTAAAGAGTGAAGGATCCGTTTTCATTTCAACCCTGGAATCCCGCTTTAGGTCACCTGTATTTATGAGCCAGCTTGCACTCGCCGCCCTCCAGTTGGTCTACATCATAGATGAACAACTGACCATCAGCAGTGGCCACAAGCAGCCTGGGAAGCTTCTGGATCCTGAAACGATCAGATGGAGAGTGTATTCATACGATTTACGTAATAAGCACCGTCAGTCAACTCAGCAATGACCTCGACTGAGAAACTCTTCACATAACCTTTAGTACTTTTCTTAAGACATAAGATTATCGACAAAAAATACAACTAAGGCTGTTTATGAGTCAGTTTGCATAGAACTGGGCCCAGAATATTGTAGACATATACAGTGGGGGAAATAAGTATTTGAGCCCTTTCTGATTTTGCAGGTTTGCCCACTTACCAAGAATGGTTATTTTTCCTCATCAGATGGTTATCAATTTTTATAAATTCATATGATGTGATTTTCTGGAATTTTCTTTGGGATTCTGTCTTTCACTGTTAGATTGTACATATGATTAAAGTTATAGATCGTTGCATTCTTTGTAAGTGGGCAAACCGGCAAAATCAGCAAGGGGTCAAATACTTATTTCCCCCACAGTATTTGTTTCTTGCATTTGGACTGCAGAGGGACCAAAAACTACATCACACAGGTCCTGTGCAGGTGCGAACAAAAAAAGAAAAAAAGGAAAAGGAAATTCACAAAGGTACGACAGAGTGTTGAGGCCACATTATTATTTTTTAAAATTAATTACAAGATTAATATGGTGAGAATAAAACTCCTCTGAATGGCCCGCATCCACCAATAAAACTGCGTTGACCACTTCCAGACATTTCCCCTGCACAAAAGCAGCCCTTTCTTCCAGGTTCTGCGGAAAAGATGCATTTTCTTTCATCTTCTTTTCAACGTCCTGATGCTTATGACAATCTGACCTGGAGGAAAATGCCTGGTTGTGTGGAGGGGAAATGGCTGGAAGGTGTCGACTGCAGGGATGTGGGCCATTCAGAGGGGTTTTATTCTCACCATATTCAATAACGACATAAGAGCCCAGACCCATTTGCCCCTAAAGAGAAATGATAGGAAATTTAAAAAATGACCAAATGAACCTGATTTATCACTAAAATAGAAATTACATTTTTTTCTAATTCGGGTGCGACCACAGAATGTCAAATGTCTGTGATTTCCAGAAGTTCCATTTCATGGTCATTTCATGTATTTTATTTTAAATGGGCTGTTACACCTGTGTCACTGTGGGTTTTATTGAATTAATCATCATTAATTCATGTGCCCCTAATCCGTCGTACAGTCGTACAAATATGGGCATTTTCTTTCAAAACGCATTCACAAAGCACATATAAAAATGTTTAAAAAAAAGAAGAGCATAAGGCCTGTGATTGACAAAGCGGACAGAGGCTTACGTGACCAAGGTGCAGACATTCCTCTGACCAGAGGAGAGGAGGTGGACGGTGGCAAAAGCCCGGTCCTGGCACATCATGCCTGCAACTTGAGTTGGGAGGTAGTTACTGGCCGCCGAAAACATTTTCCCCACATACGCTGTCCAGGTATCAGCCTGGTCTTCTCCACTGTGCACAAAACAAACAAAGCCAAAAACCATTAAGTCTCCATTAAGCCAACCACCTCGGTCTCTGGTTTGCTGATGTGTATGGCGTATTTCAAACTGAGCCAATGTAAAACAGATTATAAGTTTGACATAGTTCTTATTTTTCTCCTCAAAATTGTATACATTTGTACACATTTCATTGGGTTGATTTGTATGCTCATAAAGGAGACAGAAGTTTTAGCTCAAGTACATATTTGATGCTGTTGTTTGATTGTAAGTTAGCTTTTCATGAGCCATTTTTAGAGTGATTCTTTTGCGATATTCACATAAATGCCCTCAATCAATAATTCTCAATTCTAACAGTTACAATGAAGTCCCAGCAATACTGTCCATGTCCCTTAAAGTCTTGAGATAACGGCCACTGTGTACATGCTTTTCCGTTGTGGAAAGATCCTACAGATGTCTTTATTTTCTGCACGGATTTTAAATGTACACAGGTGGTCATTTAACTTGAATAAAAACTAGTTTGTGAGCGAATTGCCTACCTCGGTCCTAGTTGTTCCAATTTAAAAATATGTACTGTCTCCGTGTTACTGGATGCACACAGGAACTGGCAGTCAGGACTGAAGGATAAGGAGCTTATGTTGACATACCTATAAGGAAAACAGACAAGGATACACATTTTCACGTGATAATCAGTCATTTAAACAGGACAAAACTGAATGAATGAATTTAAAATTACCTATCGTGATTTTATCTATTACAGTCTATTCAAATCAAAATATTTTACACACTTACAATCTTATAATTGAGGTATCTGAATATAAATATTTGTTAAGAAACTATTTGATTTTTACTTTATAACTGTGTAAAAATGTAAGATTTAAAATATTAACGGTTGTTCCAAATCATAAGAAGTATGATATACTTTAAAAGCTTAGTTTATTGAAGTTTCAGTTAGTTCAGTTTAGTTCATTTAAGTTATTTCTTAAATACATTTTACAAATCTCTTAATTGTTCTACGAGATCTCCATGCCAAATTTGATACCACAGACCAAAACGAAAGACCTGAAAATATCATTTACACTGCATAACATAGCCTTTATTTATATTGTAGGCAAGTCAAAGTCCATAAAAGATGTTATTCTTTAGATGACTTATGCTTTTTTGCACACCTTTTATGATTTTCAGTTATGTCGCATTGTGACATGACATCTTATGGTTGTGTTCTGTCACTCCTGGGGGTTTTTGGTATTTGGTATAAAACAGGAGGTAAAAAAAACAAAACATAAAAGAAAACTACAAACCCCAGAGGTGACATGCGCCATTTTGCCCAGCAGAGGGGAAACTGAACCTTCTCACTATCAAAAAAGTTCAAGATTATTTTTTTCTTGATTTCCACATATCCTCTTAGCAGCCCGTTTCTCTTTGCTTTGTACATGAGGCATCCTACCAGCATTCATTTACAAACCTGTGTTATTTTTGTTATATCTCTCAACAGACATTTGCCAATTAATAAACAAGAGTTCTGGTCCACCTTGTAATTAAAGGGCTGAGTGGGTCAGTTCTCAACCATGACAATTTGAATATTGTTTGGAATTAACAAGGTTTACATTTAAATTTACTTAAGAGCTCCAGATGTTTTGCCAACCTTTGTGTGGACATAGAAGCTGAGCATGTCCAGCTCCTCTATCACAGTGAGGTCCTCAAGTGTTTGTCTGAACTGGGGAATGAAGCTTACAGATAAACTTGTTTATCTTTTGTGACATTTTCACTACTGAAACGTAGCAGCATATTATTTTTTGCAGACAAAGTGCAAACTTTTAAGAAGAAACTTGGTTTGTGGATAAAGTGGAGCTGAGATGGATTGGAAGGATGGATTTGTTTACACTTTCCTGAGGATCCTAGAGAGGGACACGTGGATTTTAGACCTATTTTCTGTGGATTTCTCTAAAAAAAATTATGTTGCTTTGCCTTCACATCTGGGACCCCAGCTTTTGGAAGTTTCCAGAAGTTTCCAGAAGTTTCCGGAAGTTTCCAGAAGTTTGCGTCCACCGACAGTACTTTTAAAGGGTCAGTGGGTCAAACTGGACCTGGGCTCCTCCTGGATCAATGTCTCAAATGAGCATAATTTTTCCAATGTGGCTACATCAAAAAGCCCAAAGCCCAAAACGGAGGCTACTCCGAATTGAGAGCCTTTCCCCAATTGCACCTGGAAGGATCTGATTATGTCCAAGAGGCAGGCCCAAGCTTTCTCATTTAGATAAACACTGTGGTAGTTTTATAGTAGTCTTTATAAGATTCACATGGGCCTTTAATTCTATTCTTGTTGCAGGTTTGTATGCAAATGATAAAGAATAGCCCTTGTGATTGTCATGTTATGATGTAGTTTTATTTAATGTTTTTGCTTTTACATATGAATTTGATTTTGATATTGAATGAAAAATTAACAAAGGTGAGGTCAGCTAGGTAAACCAGTACATGGTTTCTATTTAAATGGGCCCTGGGTTATTTTGGACTGAAAAACTTGGGCTTAAGTTATGCACTGCTCAGCATTTCAGCACAACACTCTTCTACAGACTACAGATCTTAAATGATGCAAGAGAACTCTGACCTCTTCATGCCTCTGCGAAATTCAAACAGACGCTGACCCTCTGGAACAGAGAAGACTCGGATGACCGTACCCTGCAGAGACAGACAGGACTGGAAGTTGTCAACAACATGTATGTGTATAATACATATATTGCATGTTTTACATTCGCAGTTGACAGCTTTCAGTGGGCACACATTTCGAACCAAATATTGAATGTGAAACATCACATCCTGGTAGAATCATTGGGGGAAAAAACTGAGAAAATCAAAAGAACAATGAGTAGTAATTTTTCTGGAGATTTTAAACATCCAGAGATGCGTTAAGATATTCAATCTGCCTCCCTGGGACAAGCCTTCATTTCAAATTCCAGTCAAATGAACAGGTTTGTCTTTCTGTCAGAGATCAGAGACATAATAGGTAGTGTTCTCCAGATTTTTTCTTACCCTCTCTGAGGCACTGGCAAGTTTGGTGGCAGAGACGTTGAAGGCAAGAGCTGCCAGAGGGCTATCATGAGCCGGGATCATCGTTACTGGGTTCTGAAATGATACAAGAAGTTTATTATAAAAATGTGTGGGCTCATTAAAAGAACCTGATCAAGATCAAGTAATGTCTACTCACAGCTAGGTAATCATCAAACTTTCTTAAAATACAAATATCCTAAATCATTCTTTGTAAATGTACAGGAGTCCCTATCATATCAAATGGCAAGAAAAATATTAATTCCTTCTGAATGTCACTGGTTTAAAGCCTGTTGTGTCATGCAAAAGGAATAATAGTTCCACTCCACTGCAAAAGTTCCAATCCACATTTCAAATCCCCAAATTCCTGAGAAAGAAACTTATTTCAAAGCAAACACAATAAACTTGTGCTAAAAATAAATGGACCTCACTCAGTGGACAGTTCCCAAAATGTAACAGTTTAACTATGATTACTACACAGACCAAAGAGCGCTTCTGACCAACCTTCTTTCATCAGTGTTTTGTCCAGTTGGGCCCTGTGCAACTACACTAACGAAAATCTTCCCCACTACATTTAGGAGCGAGGTCATCCAGAACTTACTCAGGTGCGAGGTATCTTTCTCTTTTGGAATAAGCCCTTACACACCTGGGTATAATTTCTAGGATGCAGGGAATAAGCAGTTTCTCCTAAACTATTCTTAGCTACCTCCACAAAAACGTCAGTACCTCAGGTGCACTTTTATAAACCTGGTAGGGAGTCCTTTTGGTCCAGTGGCCGACAAAGCCTTTGCATGCCAGTAGGAAGACCTCCTAAATTACACTACTCAAGATGTGAATATGTATTTCTGCCACCTCTGTAAAACACACTCCTTACATATCCTTTCTTACTTCTCTTTTCCCTACGATATTCTGCCCTTTTAAGCACTGCTAGCTTGCTTCTCTCTTACTGTAAAGCACTGATTTATCCCTCTCTTCCGCTGCAACTCTTTTCTACTGTTCCTTTCCATTTTTCTTTGCCGTCTCAACTGTTTTCAACCCTCTGACTATCTTGCACAACAAATGTTTCTACAACATAAAGTAAATCACACTCCATATCTCTGACCTATCGCTTGAATTTCCTCTTACCCTACCCAATTATATAGACATGTCTCTATTGACTGCCTTCCATTCTCTGCTGCTATTTGCCCTTATCGCTACCTTTCTGCTCCATATTTCTCTCTCTGGCTGACTTGTTCACCTCCGTATACAATATACATTTTCTTAAAGCCCCCTCCGCCCCCTCGGTAGCCATCTTACTCCTTCGGACTGTGGTTTTCTTCCTGCACCTGGACATACTCAAGTGACTTCTTAAAAAGTTTAGGTCGATGTGGCCCCACCATCTTTCTTCCAAGATGTCCTTTAAGACCGTTAACCGTTGTTACTTTCTGCCAGCTACAAGAACAAACCTGGAGCCTTTCCCCCCTCTAGCCTACCACCTTTTTTGGGTCCAGCTACCCTCCCCTAGCCCTGAGAACTGTTCTCCCCAGCTCTAGCCCTAGAGAATAGGTGTGTGCCCCTATCCTTGGGTGAGTCACTTCTCAAACTCTTATGGCACATTTCCACTAATGCCTACTCAGGGCGGCACGGCTCTATGTGGTATCTTTATATTTCCTCTAGGGGCTGGCTCAGCTAAACGGTTGCAACTTTAGCAGCAAATCGGTAGGGCAAACGGCAGACTACAGGCAAGTGACCGGCCAGCGAGTCATATGATTAAACGGTGGCCCCGTCACTGAATCCCTTCTATCTTAAAAAGAAGGTAACAACAAAATGTCTACTTTCATTATTTCTGGAATCAAACATGTTGTAAATGCCTAAAACTCAAATTCTCACATAGATTTTAATCTTTTCCTTTGAACAGACCTCAGGGATGCATTAATAAATCATGAGGTAGATGCTTTGTGCACAGAATACATGAATTATACCAACATGAATGTACAGGTCTCGTAAATTAAACATAGTAGTCCAGTCTAAATCTCTGGGGGCAACAGATGCTAGAGGTCTTCGGTTTGTCTTTTTCTTACCAAACTGTTGGCATCATACACTATTATCTCTCCAATGGTTGCGCTGCCAGGGTATGCCAGGTAAGAGTTAGAGTGACTAATGGAGAGAGCACAGAGACCTGCAGAAAGACAAAAACAATTCAATCTTTTTAGGAAATGATGTGTGTGTGCATGTGCAGTTAAATATTATGTAGACTGCTAATTGAGATACAAAATGCAAGAAGAGAAAAAGTATTTATTGCATGCATTTTATTGAAAACTAAGGTTTAATTGAAATGTGCTGTTCATCAGATGATCCGAATCTTAAGACCATAGCCTTTGAAATCCTATATTTCAAGTGATCACACTGTCAAGATCTCCTAAATTTTTTAAAAGATCACTGTCTTTGAATGTAGTCACATTGTTGAATTGCATCAACGAGTCCTCTCACAACGTGCTCTCGCTGCTAAATTGGAAACAGACAGTCATTTTGAATGACTTTAAAGACCCTGAGAGTTATGTAACAAAAAAAAACAGCAGTGTGGTGCCACAGGATGCGGTGGGCTTTCCATCAAGACACGGGACAATTTTCAACCCAAGGTAAAAGGCCATTATTAGTGCTGTTTGAGACCCAATAATCATCAGGTGGCATCTGCAAGGGAAAGGCTTAACAAACTAAATTCAATGCCGCACAATTCCCCATTCGGATTTTGTAAGCAAGCAACAATCATGGGACATTTACACGTGGAAGAAAGTCTTATCCTCTAAAACGTGATGGGTTCGAATGCAGCCCGTTTGGTTTCAAACCAGCTAAATAGAGCTCATACCCCCCTGTTCTCTGAACTCCTCTGGCTTCCCTCAGCTGCTCCATCAGATCCAGATCCCTGATGCTGGTCTACAGACTGTCTGATGGATCTACCAACTACCCCAACAGCCTCTTAAAGCCTCATGTCGCTACTCCCCCACTCCGTTCCTCCAGGGAGTGCCAGCTAACAGGTCAATCTGGATTCATGTCATTTTTGGTTCCACGCTGGTGGAACGACCTAACAAGACTATCAGAGCATCAGATTCCCTTTCCTCCTTCAGAAAGCCTTGAAGACCCAGCTACTAGAGAGTATCTCTGGTCCTAAAGCCCTAAATGTTCTTATATCCTGATAGCATGTAGCATCAATGTGTGATCTGTGATATAGTTGAATGTTAAATCCTCTTCTACCATATTCCACTCAAGGTGAGCTAAGTGTGGAAATTGTGTTGTAGTTGCATATTAAACCCTCTTTTTGGAAGTCGTATTGGATAAAAGTGGCTGCTAAATGCAGAAATATAAATGTAAACTAAATATCAAATACAATTAAACATATTTCTGAGGTGATCAAGACTATGGTGAAGCTGCTCATTATTGGAGCCATATTTCACACTTGCTTTTAGTTTTTCCTGAGCTATGGTCATAAACTTTTGATCAGCTCATAAAAAAGCCTATTTCAGTTAATATGTATATTTATAGAAGGTTATATAACATTTTAAAAATAAATCAGTTTTTTATTCATCCTGCAAAAAAGAAGATCGAAATTCTGGAAAGAATTTTGAAAATTTTCTAAACTTAAGGAAAACGTGAATGAGAGCCGAACATTGAAGGTGTAATCAATAAAAAAATCCCAGAAACTAAGAAAATAGATATTTTTACCTCTGTGGTGTTAAAAAATGTATTGTAGTTGGAAAATGTATTAAAAATAATATGCGCGTTTAACCTTTTAATGCTTCAATTTAAAAAAACATAATTATTTACATGAAATATATGAGTCTAAGTTTCAGTGAACCGGAGTCATCCGTCAAAGGGTGTTGCCATCAACTAACCCAACTCACAGCATTTAAAAAAATATGTTGGCGTGAACAACATCTTCCCTCTGTCTTACTGTACCTGAGGGGTTGGGTGGAGTGTTCAGCAGAGTCTTGAGCAGTTTCATGTCTTTGATGTTATGGATATAAATAGAATCTTCAAGGCACACGACCAGCCTCTGAAACACAAAACAGCCCTAGGATTACTCCAGGTAACCCAAAAAAAACCAACCCAAAAAACACACATGGAACAATTTCTCAGCTGATCAACACCAATTCCTGCTGTTCTCTCGAGTAAGAGATAGAGAAGGGATGGAATTCAACAGTACCTGTTTGCGTACGGTTACATTATTCACTTTTAAAAAAATGCAATCTCCCTTTCCGGACAGGAATAGTTTGCAAATGAATGTTGGGCTATTAGGGTTAGACAGAATTAGGGTCCTTTTTAGTGATAATTTCCCCTGGACACTAGCTGTGGGTGGTTTTTTACAGCCTCCATGTGACCGGCCGATGCTTTTAACCTAAATTTTTCAGCATTTTTTATTTTTCCCTTTTGCGGTAGAAACTGTTCCTTACTTATCCTTCTACAGGCAGTGCTTTAAGTTTAACTTGAAGACTTTACTTACTAACATACATTTTTTGGGTCTCCTGTGCGCTGTTCTCCATTCTATCTGAGAAAATTGCAGCAGTCACCTAAAAGGCTCAGCAGTGGCTACACTTTCTGCACAAACTAGACTCCAAACTGCTGCTGACTTTCTACCGATCGTCCATTTAGAGCCCGCTGAGGCTCCATAGAGGAGTAAATTCAGCCCGATAGACCACTCCCTGACGGACATTTACACAGTGTTGGACAAAGAAGGCTCCCAGCCTGACTTTGAGCATTTTGACCTGCTGCCCTCAGGGAGGCGCTACAGGCTCATTAGGACCAGAACACACGCAGAAACAGCTCCTTTCCTAAGACGATTACCACCCTGAACTCCCACATGCACTCATAAACACTGTCAAAACATACAATATCCCATCCTACAATGCATAATATTACAGTTTTTTTCTTATAATGTGCAACATTTGCAGTTTTTATCCTAAAACCTGCAATTTACAAACTTTTACTTTACAATTTATATAGCAATATACTTTATTTCTGCAATGTGCAATTTTCAATTACCGGTAAGCTGACAGTAAAAAGACAGACTTAGGGAAATAAAACGTGTACAATCAGCTTTCATAATGTCCTCGTGTCGGCCAAACATAAACAATGATTGGTTTGTGTTAACTTAGTTAGGAATATAACTAAGTTATAACTAAGTTTCCCTCCTAAGCAAATTGCAACCACAGTACATGGTGAAATATCCATGTAGGAATATTCTCCTATTTGAATATCTTAGTTATTCCTCTTGCCATTGTCTGAGCTATGTCCAAGGCCATTGGCAGTTACACTGGCTTACAAAGGATTTGCACAATTACTGGTGAAGTAAGAAAGAAAAGCTTTACAAATCCATTTTTTTAAGCAGCTCCTGTTTAGTGCGTAGGACACTTGTAATTATACTGACTAACTAAATAGATAACCGTTGTATAGAAATCGGACCTATAATCCTGAGCCATGACGGCTAAAAAAACGAAGAAAAAAGCGCTCTCACCGTTCTGTTGAGCTTGATGGCGAGGATGTCGCTGGGGTAGTTGTAGTTGCAAATCTCCGTCCCTTTCTTGAAGTGGTAGATGTTCATGCGTTGTGGCATGGTGGCGCTCACCACGACTACCAGGCTGCTGGAGAAAAGACGCTCCACAATGTAGACATCTGGAGTCTCTGAGGAATTGCAGAAAGAGACGCCATGACACAGAGACAACTGTTTGCTGATATGTTCCGTCTCTGTTCTGACCAGAAATAAAATGTATTAATACTATGAACATATTTAAAAAATAAAATATCTACTATGTAGAATATTCATATATATTCAAACATTTATAACCATACAATTCATTTAATTTAAAGATAAAAATAAACATATTTCCAAAAAGAAAATTTTCTCCGAAAGAAAGAATCGGATCTTAACACCAATTGATACATGGTTAAGTCACCTCAATCAGTCCAGTAACAGAGATGTGTTCAGATTTGTTTGTTGTTATGACAAGATGTAAAAAAAAATACAACTGGCAATGTTCATGTTGGCTTAAAGTAACCAGATTTAAAAAGAAAAAGAAAACCCTTGGAAACAATTCTTTGTTGTCAAAGAAATTTATGATGTACCCAGTCTGTTATATTTACCTAGAATAATTAATTCACACTTCTTTAGAGCTTTTAGGTTTAGCTTGCTTGAACCATCTAGCACTTTTTCTTTCTACACACACACAAATATGGGCCACACAGATACAAACACACACTCGCATTCACTCCTAGGGACAATTTGAAGTGTCCAATTAACCGAACATGCTTTTTATTTTTGGACGGTGGAAGGAAGCTGGAGTACCAGGAGAGAACCCCCGCAGTAACGGGGAGAACAGGCAAAGGTGGCGAGTCAGCGGGGTTCATACTGACCACTCTCATGGATGCAGTCCACTTTTTCAGCCATGGTCAGGGAAAACAGCTTGTAGCCAGTTCTTGTTCCCAGAGCCAGTGACCTGCACACACAAACATACACACATAGGTTCTGACTGACAATAGAAAATGTAAGGACTCAATTAAACTTGAATTTCCTCTAGCTTTACTTGCTGTTAAGGAAAGAATGACAATCACAGTCACTCCTTTAGGCAATTTGGAGTGTCCAATTGACCTTACATGCATGTTTTTGGCCAGTGGGAGGAAGTCGGAGTACCCAGAGAGAACCCACACACAGAGAACATGCAAACTGAGAACTGGGAACCCTTTTGCTGTGAGGTGACAGAGTTTACCACTACACTATGTTAAAAAGTTTAAATTAGTTTAAGAAGAGTAGATCTTTTAGAGCATTAAAGGTGCCTGAAACACTGCATACAGTTGAGAAAAATAGTATCGAACACAAAAATAGAAGGTAAGAGCATGCAAAGATGACACAAACTGCATGGCCAGAAGACATTGTGTTGTTAAGGGGGCAGCCTGGAGCTTTACAGGAATAATTCAGGGTGGGTTCAGGTGCACATGAGTAAGCACTAATAGGCTAGCTGCCACCTGCTTACTGGCCTCATATCAGATGTTCAAAATGAGCCTGATAACTGATGACCATCCCAAATTACAATGAAAAAAAATTCTTTTTTTTTTCTCAAGTAAGAAATTGTTCTGTATGAAACCTGGTCCATCGAGTATGTACAAACCTTCCCTTGTTATAGTAAAACCATGTATGGTCTAATTTCCAGGCATAAATTGTCAAATTTGACAAAACTTTACATATTGTAATATCACATTTCAAATAAACAACATAGATAAATAAAAAATAGATAAAAAATCATTTTAAAAAACAATCTTTAAGAAATGTTTCTGTATTAAAACTGTTCTATCGAGAATGTACAAACATTCCCTTGTTATAGTAAAACAATGTAAGGTCTCATTTCCTGGCATAAGTTGTAACATTTTACAGAATTTTACATATTGTAATATCATATATCAAATAAACAATTTAGATCATTCAGAAAATTTGTAAAAATAGATACAAATATCTTTTTAAAACAACCTTTAAGATATTGTTCTGTATGAAACCTGTTCTAACAAGTATGTACAAACCTTTCCTTGTTATAGTATTTATCTCTGGTGTGTGTAGTAATAACAGTTTTAAAGAGCAGGTAAATGTAGACTGAGGGTTGCTCCCTTAGTACAAGGAACATTTTGTTTAGTAAAGTAAGAAGCGGACAGAAAACGACTGAAGTCGCACAATAGATTTATGGGTGAGGGGGCATGGGAAATATGCCAAAGTCTTCAGGGAGTTGAACGTGTTTTTTAAAAATAGGACAAGACAGGACAGGAATGTGCAGACTAACATCTACAGTAACAGGTAGCCATTAAAAAATAGCTCATGGTAAAGCCTCTCTCACTTGTCAAATAATACTTTTAAGACCCAGTGCAACCAAGCAAGGCTTTTTTCTTTTGTCCTCTGTAAGAAAAACCAGCTTCTAAACTTTTATCTTCTTTTTAATTGGATTAGCGGCATCAAATCTCACCACATTCTCGTAGATGGTTTTGTTTCTCGTCTTAGTAAGGGAAACTCTTGTCTGTTATATGGGACTCAAATTAATCACTGGGTATCAAGAGGAGTCTTTGGTCTGAGGCTAAGTTTAAGCCGTAAAACGTCACTAAAAAGAATGGAAATGTTTCAGATGTTGAACTTATAGTTATCAACATATGTAATCCAACTGAGTGATGATCTCAAGTCTCGCTGCAGAAGGAGTCCAGACACATCTTTGCAAAAGTTAAACTCTTGAATGCAGAGCAAGTGATTGGCAATATATATACATTTCATATAAATATATATATATACATTATGTACATTTTTGTATATATATATATACATACCGAGAGAGAGAGAGAGAGAGAGAGAGAGAGAGAGAGAGAGAGAGAGAGAGATGGATTATATAAACTCTACAAACACTGGGCAATGCCCCCATGGGCCTGCTACCATAGTGAAAAGTGCTATTCCAAAGAGTTTCAAAAACCGTCGGCTATTTTGACAGGTTTGAGGGAAAGCAAAATAATTAATAAGTAAAAAGTTGTTCATGCCAACATCTCCATTAAGCAAAAAAGACTAAGTTGACACAAATCTATTAAATATCCATCAATCCATCCATTATCGTTACCACTTATTCCCTAATGGTGTGGCAGGGAGAACTGGAGACCATCCCAGTGGTCAATGGGCAAGAGGAAGGGTCACCCTGGACGGTCCCCAGTCCATCACAGGGCCACACACAAGACACACTAGGACAAACAACCACGCACACTCACAATTATATTCACTCCTAAGGGAAATTTGGAATGTCATGCAGGTTTTTGGACGGTGGGAGGAAGCCGGAGAACCCGGAGAGAACCCACAGACACAGGAGAACATGCAGACTCCACCCAGAAAGGTCCTGGTTCCCCTGGGACTCCAACCCAGAACCCTCTGGTCCTGGTTCCCCCGGGAGTCCAACCCAGAACCCTCTGGTCCTGGTTCCCCCGGGACTCCAGCCCAGAAGCCTCTGGTCCTGGTTCCCCTGGGACTCCAACCCAGAACCCTCTGGCAGAAAGGTCCTGGTTCCACCGGGACCCCAACCCAGAACCCTCTGGCAGAAAGGTCCTGGTTCCCCTGGGACTCCAACCCAGAACCCTCTGGTCCTGCAGCCTGCTGTTATTTGCCGGCTTGTCTCAGGGGCATCTTGGGGTCCTGCCCAGCGTGGTAGATTCCAGCCTCTACTGATCTTGCCCTCATGGCTTGTTCCGGTACTGCCATGATTACTATTTCTGAGTTATCTTTCAATCCAGCTTGGGATTTCCTACTATCAGCCACTTGAGCTATTTCCCAGTGGTACATCCTGTGCAGGGGTCTGTTTTGCCATCGTGGCTCCTTTCATTTGCCTATGTAAGTGTCAAATCATTTTAATCCAATTACAGTTTTCCTGTTGTTAATCATGAAGAAGAGAAGGTAAAAGTAGGTTTCTAGATCCCACTTGCACATCCATTGATCGAAGTGGCTTTGTATTTGGTACATAAAAAATGTATGAAGGTATTCAGACTGGGATAAACATTAGGACCAACTCAGGATGGAACTGGATGATCACAAAGGATGATGAACAGCATCTTTTGTGAACACAGGACCTTAGAACACCCAGTTTCTGGTGTCATGATTTTTGGGTGGTTCAGTGTTAATTCTGCACTTATAGAATAAAACTTTGATCTCGCAATGACATTTGTATACATACTTGCTTACGGTGGTTACAATCTGCCCAGCAGAAAGTATTCTGTTATCAAGGCCTCTGGGCTTACTTCCCTACCCTCCTGAGAGCCTGTTCTCATATTAGGACACTTTTTTACCATGATGGTTCTTTTTTCTTTGACCTATTGGCCACATAGTAGATGCTCTAAATCAAAATGTTTTTAGACATTTTAAACCAATCGTGTACTAATTGCGGAATTAAAATGGCCATAAGAACCAAATTGCAAAAACATTTTAAATCTAAAGATAAACCCACTGAGCCTCTATGAAGAAAAACTACCTATACCAAGACAAAGTCTAGTTCTTATTTTTTACAGATCCCAGAAATCTGGAAAAAGCAGAAACACACACCAGATTAAAGCTGGGCTCTGGGGAGGCTAAATTCAATTCTGACAGTAGAAATGAAAAAAGTTTGAAAGTTTTCAGGCAAACGTTAAGTCCCTCGTGTCCTTACAAAAGAAAATCCCCTTGGATTTCCAAAATAAAATATAATTCCCATGTAAAGGACCCATTTAAAAAAGATGTTGGGAAAGATGAGGGCTTAGTAAGTAAAAAGCTTTATCTATCTATCTATCTATCTATCTATCTATCTATCTATCTATCTAT